ATATATATATATATATATATATATATATATATATATATATGTGCAAGTACAAGGAAAACAGCAAGGTAGAGAGAGGGAAAAAAAAACAAAAAGGGGTTTGGAGTTTTGAGCTGGAGAAGATCAGAGATGGGTCCAAGTGGGGTGTGAAGGGTCGGGGACTTGAGTGATTTACAGGATGTTTTGTTCGGACATTTTTACTTTCTTCCTAAACTCTATCATGGAGCATTTGAATTAAGTCTTTTGCTGACAAGAACAAAACTGAGAGCAATTGTGCAATGAGAGAGAGAGATGATCTTTCAAAATCCATAAATGGACAATGAATGTGGCTGAAAGAGGATTTACTGCTGGACAGCAGATTTGTTGTATAATCAGAAAGGCAAAGCATTAACTATTTTGATTTATAAAAAAAAAACATTAAAGAAGCAGGATAGTTGACGAAAAAATTATAAAATAACACGGTTTATTCAAAAGCCTGTTGATATTTTAAACAACAACATCCTTTGAAAACATTAAATGAACATTAAAACTAACTTACCAACCGCAGAGGCACGACATTAAATGGAGAAGAAAATTAAAAAAAAAAAAAAGGGAGGAGGAAATTCAAAGGCACAATGCATTACTTTTAATAGGTGAAAAGCCCAGGTTGAAGTGTTGTGTCTAGCCCCATTTGACCCTTTCAAGCACACATGACAGGACTTGCATGTGGAGTCGCATTCTTCCCTCAAAAAGGAAATGGATACTTTCTTCCACATAATTGCGTCCTCTTTTTTACTCCGCTGAAACCAAATTCTTGCTCAGAAATGGAAGATCTCCTCCTCCCCTCCTCTGCCTGCGAACTGCGAGGTTCTGCCACAAAGTTTCCAGATTAGTTGAGAAAAGATCTTCAAAGATTGAGATGGATGTCTAAATAAATAGATCTCAGTCGATGTGCTAGTGATGGCGATTCTCTTTTCAGGTCTTTGGATTTTACCTCCTTGATTTGAGCCAAAACCAAGGCCTAATACTTTAATCTGCAGGTAACAGGTGTCAATATCTTAGTGGGAATTTGGTTGCTGACCCTTCATGTACTACAAAACCCGTCGAAGTCCACACACATGTATACACGTACACACACACGTACATGTAGGTTTGTTATGATGGGCTGTGTGCTTTAGAGCCTATCTTCGTAGCCTGTCTTTATCGTCTGAGACAGACACCTTTAATTACCTTCGTTTCTTTAATATTCTTATTACATTTTTCTTCCCTGAAAAAAATAATGGTTGAGCACTATAAAAATATTCTTTAATTTCCGGTTTTTGGGTTAGGTTAGTCACTATAATTTAGGTTATTTTTTATTTTATTTTTTTAATATTATATTAATTTAGATTGTTTTTTAAAAGATAATTTAGATTGTTTTTTAGGTTTTTTAATTATTTATTTTGTAGTTTTATTTTTTAATATTATATTAATTAAAAATCAAATATTTTAATTTATTTTATATAAAATAAAATATGTTTTATATATTTTATTTATCATGACAAAAATAAAATATAAACAATCAACATATCTTATATATACCTACCAAACATAATTATAATGCTCTTTTCATTTCAGTCTTATCTCATCTTCCTCCACTATCTTCATCTTTAGTATCACATAACAATAACCATGCATCATTGCAAAGATGCATGCACCCAATAATTTATATTTTTTGATTTTTTTCAAGTTTTTTATATAATATTTTTTTTATATGAGAATAATTTTTTTTCATGATTTAAACAATTTGTTCCTTGCGATTAGTGTATAGTCACGTATGAAAAGTTATACATTAACTTTCATTAATATATACATAAAAAAAAAACGGGGGAGCGTTTCACTGTCAATTATCATTTTGACCCGAAATAACATTATTTTTCAAAAATATTAGTTTTTTTTCCAACGCAGTGCCGGGGGATAGCTTTCAAAAACCAGTTTTATGTAGTTTTATTGTAATTAAAATAGGTTTTGCAAGAAAAAAAAACAATTTAAATTCTTTAAAAATATTTTTTACCGGACAAGTTTTTATTTTTTTTATTAACTTCCTTTTTTAATATAAAAATCTCTCATTTTTATTGGTAGCATATTTCTTGAATAAAAAAATAAACGTTCACAAAAAATTCAATCATTTTAATAAGGAAAAAAAACATTTCTTCGATCAAAACTCCATTTCGTTGTTCATTTATTTTATTTTTTTGTGTTTTGATGAAATCACTTTTTTATAAGAATCATTGTCTTTTAAATAAAAGTTTACCATGATTTTAAAAGCAAGTTTCAATAAAGATAGCTAAAATCTTGACTCTATAATTTATACGTGATGGAGGAAAAATAAAAGAATAATTAATCTGAAAAAACATGTTTAAAAAATTACAATAAAAATAATACACACACTTATGAGAATACTTTTTTATAGTATTTTTATATTAGGTTCATACAAAATAATTTTTAAAGTTATTGTTAATGTTATCATAAAAAACTATTATCTTATTTGAAAGCTATAACAAAATTAGATAATATTCTAAATATTATTTTAATTTTTTTATTTATATTAAATTTTATTCAAAATTAAAAATATCCTTTTAAGAAAGAAGGGTAATGTAAAAAGAAGCCAAGTGTTGGGGTTTCTTGGCCTAAAAAAGAAAAGTCAGTACTTGTTTTGGATTAAAATGACAAGCATGCGCCTTAATGGATGAATAACACATCATTAATCTTGATGTTTTTTTTAATAAAATGAACAATAACGCCTTAATGGATGAATAACACATCATTGATGTTTTTTTTAATAAAATGAACAATATATTGTCTATTTAGACAAGCAACTTGTTCAAATTTCGGCCTGGCGAAGATTGATTTTGGATTCTTTGTCTAAAAAAACAATTTTAAATTTTTTTTCTTGTAAAAATACATTATTCTAATAACCTAAGTAAATTTATTTTTAGTCATGAAACACTATCGAACTAGTAAAAAAAAAATAGGCTAAATAAAAATTTAAAAAATAAATATTTTTGAGCTTCAATCTTTTTTAAAAAAAAATATAAAGTTTCAAAACACTTTTATGGAAATCAACACTTTAAAACAATCTTATTGATACTAAAATCAACCTTATTTATTGAGAAAGTGGTTGACCAAATTCCATTCTGGCTTATTTTTTATTTTTTGATGGCTTTCTTTATACTTCCATAACATTCAAGGACTTAAATATGATAAAAATAAAAGTTTAAGATCAAAATGTAAAAAAGAAATTAAAATAAAAGGATCTAAAAAAATATAAAAAAATAAAATTTCAGGGATCAAACTCAAGTTTTCACCCTATTTTAATAAACAATTTTTTTCCCTCATCATTTCATTTTTTTAACTATCACTTTAAATTCTTTCTCATACAAGTTTTAAATTAGACTATAATTTTTAAAAATACTATTTCTCCATGAATTTATGTAAAAAGAAACAAATAACAACATTTAAAATGTTGCTAAGATAATTTGAGAGGATGAAATTGAACAATAATTAATTAAAAAAATGACATTATTTTTAGAATAGCACCATCCATTACAAAAAAAAATATAAGAGAAAATATTGTTTACTCAAAAACATAGTTACTATAAATTGTAACGAGAGAAAAAATAGTTCCTGGTTTGCCAAAATTAAATGAAATTATTCTAATTTAAAATAATTAAAGCTATGGGAATTAAAATTGAACAATCGATAGATAAATGTTTAGCTCTTTTATCTTAAAAGAATTATGGACTTAATTGCATAGGAAAAAGGGCTATCCCCATTATTTTTAGCACTCAATTTTTTTCTTTTCAATTTAATCTATTAAAATTAAATTTATTTGAAATTAAACTTAAATGTTTTTTTCCCTTTATAAAAGGATTCTATGATGTCAAGGAAAAATTTTAAGGCATTGTTGATGCTTGATTTTGTAAAAGTTTAATGTATAAAATGTTAGTACTTGCAATGCATGCATCAATGTGTAAAAGATGTCGTCACACTCAAATAACACGTGTAATATTATATGATGGCGGAATGTCGCCTTTTCTTATAGTGAGTAACTTGTCTTTGCGAGCCTTTAGTGGTGATGCAACGCATGTACATATGGGTGGTGTATGGGCATTTCTTTCTTTTTTTTAATTTTCCTCTCTCTTTTCTCTTCCTTCTTGTTTCTTCCACACAAATTCTTTCTAAAATTACAAGGTGTCCT